AGTGGGAGCTTTGTTTAAGATCTTTTCGGATGCCTCTCATCTGAAAAGCGTTAAGTTTCTTGGCCATAGCCGTAGTTAAATGTATAGTTTCCAACCCATATAAGAGCTTGCTTCGGATGATGGCATCATAAACAATAAGCTTCCACCTTGAGTTTTTATTGATCCTTATTTGATTCTTTATTGATCCTCATTTGATTTTTTATTGATCCTTATTTGATTTTCATTGATCCTTATTTGATTTGTTCATCCACATCCCCAACCAAATAGCGGCAAAACGACGGCGTCCGCACGTTCAGCAACCCTGACAGAACCACCCCCAGAAGTGCAGTCATTCCTGCAGAGGCCGCATGGGTGGAGCCACTTACGGCATGACACAGGGGAGAAATAGTGGAAGGACGCATCTTTCTCATTGACCCCTGCATGATAGCACACAGAGAAGAGAATGCACAAGACAGCGACCACATCCAAAGGCAAAATTCAAGCCCTTTTCTGCAAAAACAGAAAGTGCCACTGCCCAAAAACAAAGCAAGCTGCTGCGCAAGCAAGCAAGTATATAGTAATGGTACTAGTATGCTCTGCTTGCAGGCCCATTGTCTGAAAAGCAAGCAAGGAAAATGCTCGCCACACATGCCCAGAGGTAGCAAGCAACTGTCGCAATAGCTTGCGCTACACGTGCAAGGCCCGTAGCTTCGGCATCTGCAGGCCTACGTACTACAACAGTTTTTCACAAGAAGGCATCCACAAGCCAAGGCCCTGGCCAATTAGCAGCTGGAATGAAGTCAACATGGAATTGCTGTTCACCTTCAGATGACAAAAGATTCAGGCAGGCAAGAGTGGTCAGAGCACCCGCCACGGCATGCCTACTGGGAAAAGAAGAATTCCCGTCCGTCTCCTCCAAAATAGGCAGAGATCACATCCGGAATTTCCAGTGGGTCGGGTCGCTGAGGTGTAGACTGGGCTGCTCCAAGTACTTGACCCCATGGCTTGCCAGTCCACACTGGTAAGGCCTGAGAGCGGTAGCTTGCGAGATCTTGTTTGTTTCCAAACGCACATGTGGGTGGTCTTACCTTGAAGGGGCTTCGCAAGCTGGGCGCTTTGTCCAGAAGCTCGCTGAGCTGCGACACCTTGGATGCCGCCTACGATCTCTAATCATCAGAGCCAGACAGGGGTGCTTGCAATGCTGCAAGTTGGCAGACTGCTACTCTGGACAAGTAGGATCGCCACTGCTCTTTGCACCGCATCATCTGCACCTCTCGTCAAAGTCGAGGCTCAGAACGACCAAAACCAAGAAAAGGTGTGCCTGCCAAGGATGCCGGGGTAGCCTGAGCAACACGCTGCGAAGCAAGGGCATACATGGAAGAAGACAAGCATACTGCAACAGGCTGCACCCATGTCTATCTATACGGGGGCTTGCAGAGCCTGCTTGGATTGCATTCACTGCAAGCGGCCTGGATCTCGGCTTCCAGAAGCACTGCCAAAGCCACTGCTTGCGGGCAGTGGCCGAGCAGAAAAGTCCGGTGGTCCTGGATCGACAGGATCACTGAAGTGATCTGTGCCATATGGGCAGGTGTACATAGGTGTACCCACCGCTGAACATCCGATCGCGACAACGGAGCCCTACAAACTGCTGTCCAGAAGCAGTCGCTTTTACCATTTCTTACCCCTTGCTCGATTTCTGTACAATACACTGTCCTCGCTGGAGAAGAAGCGGACAAGCTGGCATGCAATCAGGGAATCCAAGTGGTTTCCACCAGCAAGCCAAAGAGGTGCAAGATTCGAGCCTCAAGCACCTGCGCTGGTGCTTCCGAGATGTTGGCCGGCAGGTTTTCTGCAGCCTCCAATGCCAGCGGACTGCAACTAAAGAGTCAAACATCTTTCCTACCAGGCCCAGACAAGTGAAAAAGCGAGTACAAGGAGCCTCTAGCAATAATTCGGCAAGGGGAACTCCGTCAGCTTCAATGCGCGAACACTCGTCCTTGCCTTACAACACACACAGATGTTCCTGCACTTTTTGGCTTCAGCATTGTGAACTACGAGTATGAAGGTCCTGTGTCTTTCCGGTCAAGCGGTCCAACATTGCCGTACGAGCCAGGGCCTCCGAAGTAGTCGTCATAACTTCTTCCACCTAGCCCCACGTGCAATAACAGAACTGGGCAGAAGTTCGCACGTGCGATATGACATGGAAGACCAAGGCTGAGATCCCGACGCCGAAAATCCCCGAAGGACCCGTAGCCATACCTGATCTCCTAATCTTACTTTGTCTTGACCCCTGCTGTGCTGAGTCCGACTTTGGGGGCACAGATCATCCCGTGAAAAGTCCGAATCCAGACCGGGAAAGCTATCGAAGTAGTCCCCCAGTGATGGAGGACCACCCGCACACAAGCCTGCTGCAGGAATACATTCGCTGAAAGACGTGCTTAACGTCATCAACATGACAAACACACAAATGGCAGAAGCAACGGACCTGCCAGTGAGAGCCACCATTGCGTTAGCATGCAAACATAAAGCAGATGCACGGTGTGCTAGGGCAACTTCGATTGATCGAGCTTGCTCCTACTGCCCGCCGGAATGTCCCTACTTCTTGCTTCCAATCCGCTTTTGGTGGCGGCGGCGTCAGCACTGTGCAGCTTGCCAAGTGCTGGAGACAGAACTGTGCGAGGAGTTGACCATACCTCACATAAACTGTTTGTTCCATTATATGTGGGCTCTTGCGCCATAAGGCTGCCACGGATATGCTGCATGAATATGCATGAATATGCTGCTTGCTGCAGGACATTTCAGCAATTGCAACACGCTGAGATGTGGAAAGGCGTCTCTTTGGCAAGCCTCGCACCAGACTCTCTTGCGAACACGGCATGGGCCTGCTGGTAGGCGGCCTTGGCAATACCTTTGTACATGGCGCAAGCAAAGTTATTCTTTGCTCAGCGACCTCTGCATGGCAGCCTGCGCGTATGACCTCAAGGAGCTAGGCCAGCTGCAGCAGCTACAACAGTGCACATGTTAATACACTAAACAAATGCTGGGGCAGCACAGCCTTCTTACATGATGTCTGGGAGGTTTGAGCCTGAGCTCTTCGCACAATTTACAGCCGTTCTTAATGATTTTTTCCTGATCTGATCATGATTTTGGCTAGAAAGGCTACGAGGGTCTTTACAGCCTTTCTCCTCTTGAAGTGTTGGAGCTTGTAGTTCTGTTAGTGTTCTGTTTACCGGTGACCTTCGCTGGCGAAATTGCTCGCTACATCTGTTTACGCAGTAAGCCTTACCCATCTTATGAGTACCACACGAAACCTCACCTCGGGCTTGTCCTCGGACACTTTCCCTGCCGGGTAATGTGCTCTGCCCTTCTCTGCTCCAGGTTCTGCAAGTACTACCACTCGAGATACTAAGCCAGCTGGGAAAAGGAGCTCATCATTTTCGAGGCGATGTTGCAGCCTCCACCGTTTGATGAACTCAGCATCTGACTCGATGTCAACATGATTGCTGAAGCTTGTATTCTGGCACGCCCAGCTTCTAGAGCCCACAGCATTTCAAGAGGTGACAGCAATGTTTGGCAGGCAACAGTTCAATCTTAGGGGCTGGCAATGAAAGATTCTCTGCGCGCAGTGATCACGTGGCTTCCCTACTTCTTCAGCACACTTGCAAACTGGAGAAGGGCATGTCAACGCGCCAATGCACTGGCAAAAGAAATCCTCCTTCAGCAGCACGTTTTTGGCGACGGCCTAAACCCTGTGAAATTTTGTTATGGCTTGTGGTGCTATCGTCTAACCTGTCGCGAGTCGTGATGCTGACGCGACCCCGGGAAAAGCTGCCATGGACGCGTCTCTGCAATACTTTACTGATGCGAGCCATGGCGGTTTGACTTCAGGCTTCACCGCCTCATTTCACTGACGAAGCGAGTGGAAACCACTTTTTTCGTGCACGCTCCAAGAGCTCACGTTTTTGCTGTCGCGAACACCATCGCAATGAGAATGCTCATATTCTATTGTCGCGAGCTATCGCACACACCGCAAAAGCTGACGCAACCAAGCTTTACTTTCGCGTTCGCGTAAATTTCCACAAGGGTGGTTTTGGCCGCCGCTCAGGTGTTGATACATGTCTTAATAAGGCATGATGAGACCACCGCCGAACTTGAGAAAGCAGCTCGGCCATCAGGTCAATGACATCTGCCTTCACAAAGATGCTAAGCCTTACCTCTCATCTTGAGCTTCTGCAGGCGAAGAAGAGCTTCTGCGCCCCAGCAATGCAACCCTGCCTTTGAATTCTGTAAGCCACTTTCATCTAGGCCACCTGAGCACAGAACCGGCAGGTTCGCGACAACGATTTTGCCCCTTGCAATCTGAAAACAGCTTGACATGTAAGTGCAGAGCTCATGATGCACTCGTCCTGAAGCGATGCAGGCTGGCTGGCATGCGCATACTGTAATCGGCTCTCGCCTGCAACCCCTCACGTTGAAGGATCTTTTGCAGGAACGGGGCCTACAAGTAACATCACATACGGGAGCAACAACCAACACTATGCCAGCAACTGGAAGCGGACCTGATGGGACGGGGATGCCAAGTAGCCTTCTGGAGACTCTGCCTTGACAGCAGCTCATGTCCGACACCTTTTCTGAGTAAGGCACAAGAAGCAAAGAGGCCCGAGCCATTCCTTCTTCCACAAAGATGGCCCAGATCTCCTGCAAAAACACCCTAGTCATTCTGCTTGTGGAGGAATCTTGAATCATGCCCCCGGCAGCTGATTGACAACCCAGGTTAGAAGCAGCACTGCTTGACAGGCCTGACCTTTGGTCAAAAATATGGAGGGCAAGCCAAGGCCAACGAACACTAGCCAGTCCTCTGCACTTCGGAACTAAAGGAGGTAAAATCGATGCAAACACGAGGCATTACATTATTTGATGGGACCACCAAGCATGATGCTGAAAGGAAAGTGAGGACTAGAGGAGGTATGATGCAACCATTGACCGTGTTGTTCCCATACAACGAATAGGTTCCACGCAACCAGCAAACATGACGTCTTTCGTACAATGGCAATGCAGGGCTATCACAGAAGGAATAAGGATATTTGATGGAACTAGCAAAGATAACGCTCTCCCTGCCATGACCATGCCACGGCAGTGAACAAAACCCCTTTATCCCTCAAACCTAGAAATTTCCTGGGATGCGTTGAGGCTAGTCTTCAAAAATGCCTCCGTAGTGTGGGGGAAGTGTTGTGCTTGAGGCGCCACCCCTAATAAAGCTCGAGATATCCGCTGACCCTCCCCCTTCCTTTGGGGGGCACCCAGGGATACATCCCCTTCTTTTGCTGTTTAAGGACGGGTTGGGTTGGCTTCTATACCCCTGCCCCTCCATTGCAATTTGACAAGCTTCAAGACCTCCTCCTCCTCCCTCCCGGTCCTCGTACCCCTCCCTTCGCGTTGCCTCCCGCTTTGTCCCTTCTTCCGCTCCCCCCACTTCCTGCTTCTGTTTCAAGCCATAAGCAGGGTGCCAGGCAAACCCCTGTTCAAATTACGCATCCTTACACAAACTCTGAGCTGAACAGAGGCAAGGGGATCACTAGCAGGACACGGCAAGTTTACTTGGCTGTTTGGCCTGGATCCATCATGCCGTCAGCTTCACAAGCATGAAGTAAATATAAATCAGTAGAAAAAAAATGGGAGCCCGACTCTGAGCTCAGTTCGAGCAGGGGTACTTGCCGAGCGTCTTCAACAAACCCGGTGTTACCATTTTGGGGGGTTCCCATTATAAGGATTATTGCATTTTCGCATCCTATTTAGGGAAACTACCAAGTGGGGGCCCCTGGACTTTCCAGACTCAAGCGCAAGCTACCCCTGGATGACCCACTCTCGTTGCTGGAGATCTGAACAGACAAATTGACTGCTGCGACCTCAGAATTCACCATGCTTTGCAGTGTGGACCTAGTTCTCCTAGAAATATTCCTTGTATAGCTTCTTGGTGAACCAGGGGATACTGGGGGATGTCGCCAGAATAAACCATTCTGGAGAGGGTTGAGGAGAACTCGTCGTGTTTGGGCATCTCAGATCTACTTGTGATCTACTTGTGGTTCGGAACTCACATACTCACATCCGCAGAACCTAACAGAGGTACGGCAGTAGCATCTCGGCCTCTTCCAGCAAGACCTCACGTCTCAGCCGGACGGAATTGAGCAGGGCGTGATAGTCCAAATACCTGGAAGCCCAAAAAGGCTTGAAGCAGTCAAGCCTTGCACATGCACTTGCAAGCATACATTGTGGCGCACGACTCCCCTGGATGTCGGAGAAACCGTGCAAAGCATGCTCCAATGGCCTGCAGTTGAAAAGCAAACCCCTGTATTTCTTTGAAATCTTTTGAACGCGGCAGCAAAGGAATCATTCTTCAGGGCGTTTTGCCTCCACGATGTCAGCGTGCCCATTGTTCTGCAGCACCTGTTGCAAATATCTGTCCAGTGCATTCCCACTTTCTCAAGCAGTTGTGAACACGCCTGACGTAGGTCTGCTGATGTGAGGAAACCAGCTCTGTCTTTGTCTGCCTTCTGACACCTGACCCCCCATTGCCCTCATACCGCTGTCAGGGCGAAGCCACGTTCTGTCCTACCTGTCTACGACTGCATGCAAGGCAGTCTGAGATCTCTACTCCAACTGCAGCTGCAACGAGGCGGTATAGCTGAGCTTGGATGCCAAGCTGTTTGCCACGAAAGCCTTGAAACAGCAAAGCCGAGGCCTTGCACATCTAAAGTGCAGCAGGCAGCGGGCCTCGATAAGCCAAGTCCTCACAACTCAAACCAGGCAGGCGTATACGTAGCAACAAACACTCGCAAAAGCTGGCCTGCAAAAGCGTCGAAGGTTTAGCGCCTTGTTCAGACCGCACATGCGCTCTTTGACTGCATGCGTGCATGTGCTGCACTAGTCACTAGATGCATGTGCATCACAGTTCGGTTGAGGATCAAAAGAGGGTAACATTGACCCAGATGGCGAAGTGTCCGCAAGCTGCCGAATCCAGGGGTGCTGCAGTGCCTGTTTGCGGAAGCGAATATATTATCAGTAGCACGATCATGCAGGATAAGTATCGCTGCCTGTTGCACTGTCAGCCGCTTGGACGCAGCTCCATGCAAGCATCTCTGAACGAAGTCCTGCAAGTGCTCGCCAAAGGTAGCATCACCGCAGGCTTTTCGATCTTTGGTGCTCCTTTGCTTCCTCCGAGATTTTGGACCAGAATGGCGGATCCTCAGTGTGGAGCTAGGAAATTTCTTGTGCTGTGCAATAAGTCGAGCGCGCCAATGACTGGGCCGGCGACAAATGATAAATCGATTTTCTGAATTCTGGAAACGACGGCATGTCTGCACGGTGCGAAAAATGGCGGATACCTGCTGCAGTGAGGAAAGGTCAAGACCATCAAGACGCAGCAGCATGATTCAAGCGTCAGATGGTGAGGTGGCTCACCCGCACAGCAGGAGGAAGGCAATGGCACCCACCTCGAACGTGAAGATTTGTGGCACGTGCGTGCAGCAAATTGCCTACCCACCACGTCGCCCTGCTCTACTGCTGAGACTCCGAGACGAGAGACACTGCTAGGCTTGAAGTGCACAAGCATCTGTCATGTCTCCTTACACAGAGTGGAGCAGGGGGTCCATATTTTTCCGGGGATACGCAGGGCCCCAAGGACATTCCAAGGACTTTGGCCTTAGGCCACTGACGGGATTTTCAAATAACTGAGATTGCAGAAGCTAAAGTACGCAAGGCTGCCTGCTGTGGTAAATCTGCCGTGCTTCCTTGCAACATCCTTACGTTAAAATTATTGACATGCCTCAGAGCGTGGCAAAAGCCACCTGAGGGTCAGGCACTCCAAGCATCACAGGACGCCAAGAAGCCCCAGCTAACATCCTTCAGTCAAAGCTGGCTCACCGTAGCAGGAATTCAATGCCCCGATTCTGTACCGTGTCAAGTCCTGCTGCAGGGCCAAGTGTGCATCAATGGCCTGCGAGGCACCCGCACCCATGCAGTATTCAGCTTGGTCCGACAGGCGTTTGGAACAAACAGACCAGGATTATGGCGTTTCCGCTCCCGCTACCTTCTTACCAAGCCCTGCAGATCTTGCAATCGCACCCTCGCCCCTCAAAGGCTCTGCATCCTGCCCTGACATTGGAGTGGGGTGGCCGTCCCGACACGTTCAGAGAGGGCGTTAACCGCTTCCCAAAAGTCAGGGAACCCCCCACCCTATTTGTCTTGCGCCGAAAGGCAGACCCCCAATCCTGAATCCTGAGCTTAGTCATCATTATTGACTAGGTGCCTCGAACCTCCAAGAATGGGCTTCAAATGCCGGGGTTGTAGGGTTGGGGCTCTGATGTGGCTTTGGAATCAAAATGAGCGCTTGTATAGGCAGATGTTTGGCTTCTTAGCAGTGTGTTCTTTGAGCGTCAACGTGCCATGGGTATGGAATCTAGACCAGCTAACTGCTGGCACAAAAAATTGAACACTGAGCCCGCGGCATCCTGACGAAACACGGTCACAATGTTTTCTGAGGGCTTCCCAGTCAGTTTCTGAAAACTTGCAGTATCTAGGCTCAATACCTGTCGTGATCAAGGGTACTGGGTTTTTGTCCGCCCAGTATGGCCCAGCCATCTTATCATGTCTGTTCGCCAACGTGCCTACCTTGCCGCTTTTCTGCCCCAGCGCCATGGCAAGTCGCATTTCGCGTCATGGCCATGAGCCTCCCTGCGAGCTCTGCGAGCCCAGGTGCCAACAATTACTCCATGTGCACTGATAGGCAGCATGCTGCCTGAGACAGCAGACCAACATCCAGCATGTCGGAACTCCTGCCGACAGAACAGAGGACAACACCGGAAGTTGCTCGTTACTGACTTTGCTGCTGAGCTTCTCCAGCCGAATACTGCCTCAACAGCTCCGGCACGCGGAAATGCTGTGAAACCGCTCGAATTTGCCAGCCTTGCTTCAAACTCGCCGCTGTAATCAAAGGATTCGCGGGCGCATCGTGCTCCGACCCGACCTCACTGCAGACAAATGCCGTCGTTGACCAAACTGTTTCCCATGAAGAGCGCAAGCAACGCTAAGCAGGTAGCCTGAAAGTGCCTAAGCACTTCCGGGGCACAGAAGACCAAACGGCACACCTCAGGCATGTATACTGTATACACCCACTCACAGACACTTCGCTATCTGCTCTTCACGTTATCGCCCCATCCGTCTGCATGCCTAGGAGCTATCATGTTTGAAGGAAGCGGGCTTATTGGATGCATGTGCAACATACCCAGACAGCTCTGCTCGCTTTGAAGATTTCTCTCCTGACTCCGTGCCTCGAAGAGCTGCGGACAGCTGCTGCGCGGCCAGTGGTGCACTCGCGCCTCCACGGCCCAGACCCATGATCTGGTTCTCGCTCTTGGAATTTCTGATTACACACCCGCAACTTGAGGAACACTGATTGGCAGCTGCAGGCATGGCATGTCGCTGTCCTCTTAGGATCTTGCGAGATCTTGTGTGCTGTGAGTGCTCTGGTGCTTGGAGGTTCACTTTGAAAAATAAAGTACACCGCGCCTCACCATGGCTCAACAGCTCGCCATGACCAGAAACTGGCGTCCACTCCTCCATGCAAACCTGTCTGATCATTCTTTACATGTCTCGTCGCTTGTCTGCGTTTGTCGGGGGATGTGCCTTGAGCTCGAGGCCAAAATCCACAAGCTTCAGCGGCGCTTGCGTCTGGTCACTCAGGAACCTGCCAGGATCTGAACAGGAATTGCTCCGTCTCTCACAAAGCCTTGGTCGGCCTGAAAGATTCGGGAGACAAGTGGCCGTGCGACATACCGGCTTCATGGAGTTCGTGAAGCGGCTGACAGGAAATCTTTGTAATCCGTCAGACCCACGAGCTGCTTCCAGGCCACGGCAAACAGTGTGCCTCCAGCATGTGCTTCACGAGCATTGCACACTCCTGTTCGGAGAAGTAGTTCCGCTGCAAGATCCTGTCTTGCCTGCCACCCTATTATCAGCTTGTGCTGAAAGCTGACGTGGTACAAAAGCACTGTGCTCCGGGCACTGTGCCGCCGGTGCAGTGCTCTGTGACCTAGCACCAGGCGCAGCAAAATCAGTCTTACTTAAACCCTGTTTGCACTGTGCCCACCAGTGCAAGCGTCCGGGGATCCTCGTAGATATCGAGCACCCTGGCATCAGCTGGCTTCAGCGCGCTTGTCTTCGTGTCATGCCGCATGACAGCCACACACCTGCCTGGCACATCTCCCGAGCTGCTGAGACTGTAGTTGCGCAACATGTTGCCTACTCCAAGGTCAGAAGAACGACCTCTTGAATCACCTCGCCGCGCCTCAGCTTTTCCTGACGGTGTCTGCCGCAAGGCTTGCGAAGCAAGTGCAACCTGTATGCCTCAAACTCAGAAAACTCACATCGCGCTTTTGCTGGCTGAGGTCATGCTGAGCGTACAGTTCCACTTTGGTCTTGCAAAAGACGAACAGAAGGCAGGTCCTGACTCATGCAGCTGCACGCACCTTGTGCGACAAGAAAGCTTCCCAGACCCCGCCTGAATGCTTCGCTCCTGAAGTTTGTAATGCTCGGTCAGCTTTGCCATTGGCCTTGGTCGTTCTCTCGACAGCCGTTTCGGTTTGACTATTTTCAGGGCAGCCACCAGCTGCGTGCATCATGGGTGGCACCCACTAGTGCCTGCAGAGGAGCGATGCATCCATCAAGGTGCCAAGAATAGCGAAACTCGCTGTTTTTCCCCGAAAGCTGCACGATGCGGGTGGGCAGGCGCGGGGGCAGTAGCAGGCCACAGCACGACTGCGTTGCTGCGAAGACAGTCTGCGGGATCTGCTTGCATCTACTTGCTGCGACATCAGATTTCAGATCCAAAGAAGGATTTGGGGGAGGACTGCCGGAGCCGCGCCCCCACCATGGGGATCCCAAAATTACATAAAAGAGACGAGGCCCCTCCCAGAATTAAGTCTGGCCCAAACATCTTGCCGTAGTGTCCCGCCCAGACCCCCAAACCCGTACTACCCAGCCTCATATAATTCGGAGCATATCAACAAAGCTGCTGCTGTAGATGTCTCAACACGCAAAGATACACAAGGTACTGGCTCGAGAGGCCCTTCTTTCAGCGGCCTGCCCGGAGGATGGACTCGAAGAACCTGGGCTTTCGTAGCAGCCGAAATTCTGGCACTGCAAAAGAAAACTGGAAAATCTCAGGCTCACGGCTTTGGAGGCTGATCTTTGCCAAGCCATCAATGTCACTTGTTGCCAGCAGCTGAGTCCTTGGAGTGAAATAAAAGGGATCTCGCCAAGTTGCGGCACGAGCATTACCAGTCTCACGAGGTCCGGGCACAACACCATCGCTCGGCGAGCAGAGAAGAGCACCCATGGCGTGAAAGTTGCATGGGAGGTAAAAATGTGGAGGTCGGGTCAGTTTTGCCGCAAGCGGTATGATCTGCCACAGTACCCATAAAGTGCACAGCAAGCAGCCCTTTCTGTGAACCTGCTCATGAATGTTGTAGGCTCAAGCCAATGCTCCCACACTCGCAGTTCCACGGACTCAGCTACAAGTGAGCGGCTAGTACGTCATACGCGCTGCACGAGCTTTTGCAGCGACGTGTGGTCCAGTGTTTTGCAGAGCTTCCACGTGCAGAGCTTGTGAGACTTCAATGCTGATGTAACGGAATGGCAGCACAGCTTTTCCTTTGTTGCAGTTGCAGTTTGTGATAGCATCTGGTTGCATATTGCTTTCGGTCCAAGGGGCATTGGCCAAGACGCTGCCCCTGACCTTCGAAAAGCCGTGGCAATGTACCCGTAACTGGAGCCTGGGCAGACATCCGGCTCAAAGGTACGCCCACATTTGCCGACATGCTGAAGCTGATGCCTGCTGCGGCCGCGCGCGGGCTTGACCGCCGCCATACTGGCCTTTGAAGACTTTCATCCGACACTGCCTGCGGACGCACCCTGATGGCGCCTCCTGCAGGGCCTTGTGCATAGATGGGCTCCGCCTCCTGAAACGACGAATCCTCTAAGCAGCTACGGCCTTGTCTGCAATTTCAAACCACATGACAATATAATCTACGCGAAAGGAATCCCAAATGCTGAGGCTTATTGATCGCTGCAAAATTTGCGAGATCGCTCAGAAAGTAAATGGTGCTGGCCTCGTCGAACTCCGAAAACAAGGAATTCGGGTAGGCACGGAAAGACCACCACGAAAGCAGCGCGCTAAGCAGCATGACAACTGGAAGCGCCACCAGCAAGGCTGACCTGAGGCCAAGCATCCATACGGAAGCGGGCAAGCATCTGAAAGACACCGACACTTCCTTGCCAGCAGCAACACCAGCACAGCAGACAGCTAACTGTTCAGCAAAGATACTGTATGTTGTACTTTGACCTTAGCAACGCGCAAGAACAACTCAATTGGAAAGCGGCATCTGCTGCACACATTGCAAGGCTTTCAGCCAATCTGCCCTTGCGAGGAGTCGAAAAGAGGATGTATCTTGACCTGCGTCTCGTAGGTGACGCTGGTGGCATCCTTGCCAGTGATGAGGGTGGTGCTCGAGCTGCGACCACCCACTACCTCAAAGTGGTATGAGTGGATGTTGTCCATAGGCATCCAGCAAGCCAGCTGCTAGGTGAGACTGAGGTTTGCACACTGAAAAGCGTCAGGACGCCGAAGAGCGATTCGAAACCAGATATAAGACCAAAGACTAGTAAGCAATACATCGACATGTTGGCGCAGCTGTCTGACACCATATAGTAGACAATGGCGGCCAATATTAGCGTGAAGAACATGCCAAATCCATCTCCAGCAACTACTTGAAGCACTGCCATTGATACCAGTATCAGGAAGATGCCCCACCAGAAATAGGAGTGAAACCTTGGCCAACATCTTGCAACAGAAGCTCATAAATGGCCGTGGCCACGTCTGGTGATCGCACAAGCTATGCTAGTCCATCTCAACAAGATAGTTCCGCGTCTCAAAGCACAAGCGCAGGTTTGAGCGTGCTCCAGAGGCACAAATCAAGTCAAGCATCTCCTTGACAGCAGCTGGTGCGGGTGCATCTTGTGGGGAGGCGCCCACGACTGGAATGACCATAAGAGTGGTATCCTTGGGCACGGTGCCGGCAATGCATGCATCCGTCATCATCGCAAGATATCGCAAGTATACAAGTGCTGTTGGATGCTGTTGGGTGCAGGCAAGCGTCTACGAAAACCAGGAGTTCGATATCGAAAAAAGAAAGGGCATTCTCTTTGCGCCAAAATGGCTGAAACGGAGCGGATTCACTGCATGCCATGTGCAGTCAACACGCTCAAACTCGCCCCAGCAGTCTGATGAAGGCTCCGGATTTCTCTTTCAGCACCCAGTTGCTGACTGCAAATTGCTCCCAGGACTCAGAAGCGCTCACCTACACGTTAGGCTCACATGGTCTGTGGTGCGGAATGTCTACAGACTCCCCTGGTGCCAGCCTTGAAGACATCGGCACATCAAGCGCCTGTGCTTCCACTCCGCTCTTGCAACTGCACCGCATGGAGCAAACCGCTCCACATAGCCCAACTGTCTTGCACACAGGTCTAGGCTCCAGGCGAAATCATGACACGGAAGCGCAGAATGCATGACACAAGCAGAAGTCCTGGGAGAAATTCCACCAAAAGTGACCGCATCAAATATGCCCGCTTCAAGATGTCAACATGCTTGCACTTACTGTATCTCCCAGCTGTGCTGAGTGCAGTTTACGACCTGTTGGAGTCTCATTTCAGATTCTGTTGCGGGCTCCTCCAGCTCCTCGCACCATCCACGCCTCAAACTCGAGGGCTGCGTCTGGAATCTGGGGTGGAATGGCACTGGATCCTCCGCCGACAAGGCTTTTAAATCTTCCAGCCTATCAAGACTCTTGTCACTACCTGTCACCACCTGGCCTGCAACAGTAGGCCGAAAGTCAGGTTGTACAGTGTCTGACCTGTCGAGCATCTTGGTATTGCCGCTATCGCAGGAAGCAAGCAAAGAGCGAACCAAGAAGGCAAAACATGACCTTGTCGGATACATCCACTCCCATCAAAGCTAAGTTATTCGCACACTCGTGGGGTAAACGGTGCCTCAGCACTGTCTAATAACGGCCGGACAAGAACCGCAGACAGTGTTTGGTTTGACGGATGCTGAGCCCCTCTCGTGGACTGGTACTTGTGAAGGTTGCTAAAGGAGTTGTATTGGGTGAAGCTAGCGCATCTCCTGAATGGAAACTTCTGGCAGCAGCAGGTGCAAACTTGGACTGCCTGGCACCCCTGCAAGATCCAACAGCATCAAAGAACAATTGCCACAAGGTGAGTCAGCGCAAGCATGCATGTACTTGATAAGGCATAACTGACCCTACTCCTTGATTGACTAAACTCCTGGTATGACATTATGATCTCGTCCTCATACCAAAGCAGCCACACATACTATCGTACAAACTCGCTGCATCCCGCTTGCTGCCCAATGTCACTTTTTCAATCTGTCATCGTCCAGATCCTTCCAGACGCACCCCCGACCCGGACCACCCGACCTTGACCGCCGGATGCCGATGTAGTAGTCAACCTGACATCGTCGTCGTAGCCGCGGTCGCTGTGGCAGTCGTAGTCGTGGCCATCGTCATCGTCGTCGTCATGATCGTGGTCGTGATTGTGGACGTGGTCGTGGTCTTGGCCGTGGTCGTGGTCATCGTCGTCGCTGCCACCGCTGCCGTTGTGGTTTTCGTGGTGGTCGTCGTGGTGGTCGTCGTGGTCGTCGTCGTGGTCGTCGTCGTGGTCGTCGTCGTCGTCGTGGTCGTGTCGTGGTTGTCGTCATCGCCGTTGTCGCTGTCTTATCCGAGGTTATTGTAGCAGCAGGAGTAGTAGTAGACGCGTTATTCTGGCTGTCCCGTAACCGGAAATGCAAGAAAATACTGCAAAACGCGGTACTTCGGAAGGGGGCTAACTTGAAGAAGGTGCAAAGTTCAGAGTCAGGATTTTTTCTGTTTTTCTTCGCAAAATCATGATGGGAAGACACAAAATCACTGTCACGCGCAGTGTTTCGGGCTCCAGGTGCTTTTTTCAAAACATGCATGTCAGACACCATCGCACATGCCAGCGAAGCAGAAAGTACTGTAAAAAGCAGCATTTTTACAGCAGAGCAATTTTGCCAAAAACGCGTTTTTGAAATTTGAATCTTTTAGTATAGGCGAAATGCTATTCGGTCGGCGACTGCGCAAGGAAAAACAAGTAAAGAATTGTTCCTGTGATCTTTACTATATGGACTCGCAAAAAAAACGAGGCCAAGTATTCTTGCGTATTCTTGGTGCCCTTACAATCCTGAATAGTATAGGGTAACTATCATTGTGCCTTCTTGTTAGCCTAAGGTTGCAAGGGTGTGCAAGGTGTTTTTTTCCGTGCCTGCCGTGCCTAAAACCTTGCTAACTTCCCATGCCTCAAGTCCTTGTGGGCGTATTTACTGGGGGGTTCTAATCTAAATAAGACATGTTCAGTACATGTCAGAAAGGTTTTCCTTCGGAGCTTGCTGTGCCTAAAATCCTTTCTATACTTTCTCATTCCTCAAGTCCTTACGGGCGTTATTATCCTCCCCCACCCACCCCCCCAACCCACCAAAAAAAAACAATAAACTAATATCAAAACTTGTGAAGATCCGTAAAAATACAAAAACGCTTTTTTGGCCACAATAGTTCTAGCAAGAAAATCTACGAAACCCTGCAAATACCAGTGAATTCGTCCAGGGGCACAAAAACAAAGCTTTTTAAAAATGAAGAAAGAGCGAAAACGCACCAACGGCCAAATGTATTGCAAATACCAGTACTTTGGGTTGCTTCGACCGCACCAATGCAAAAAAAAACGAAAAATCCTGAATGGCAACTGGAAGAGGATAAACAACTAAATAACAGATTCCGTAAACAGGAAATGCTATAAATAGCAGTGAAAATGTGCATGGCGGTTGTCATACTCAGTCAAAGAAGCACACAAAAGAGAGTCGTCAAATACCAAAAGTATGCCCAGTAGTAATAGTAATTGTAATACTTTACTAGTAGTAGTAGTAGTAGTAGTAGTACTACTACTACTACTATTAGGAGTAGGAGCAGGGGTTGGAGCAGTAGGAGGAGGAGAGGACGTGCGCCCGCGACGCCTGATGTTTTCATGCGTTTTCTATACATACTGTCAACATGGCCAGTAGAGCATCCATTTTCGAGCGAGTCTGGTTGCCAGTTGAGCATCCATGGCCAACCAATAGCCCAAAATTGTCATGTCAAAAATAGTTGGGTAAAAATCCAGACCTGCCGTTATGACGCCGCGCACAGCGGCCAGCGGCGCCCAATGTGGGGTCTTCGTGGTAGTACTAGTAGTAGTAGCCTAGTAGTAGTAGTAGTAGTAGTAGGAGAAGACTCTTCTCTAGCGACCAGGAAAGGAAAGGAAAAGTAGTAGTAGTAGTAGTAGTAGTAGTAATATTAATAAGCACCACGGCTCAAATTCTGCTCGTTAGCTGAGCTGCACCTAGATCCGATGCAATGGATGAAGATATGTTGCATGCTAACAACCTTGCTGGTAGCAACGTGCGAGAAAAGCGCAGACGCCCCCGCCGAGTGCATCGGAGTTGATGCAGCCAATAAACTCCTCTCTATCTTCATGGATGATTACCATTGCTCCATAAAATTCTTCACGCTCCATCAGCTCGAAACAAACCTCAGCCACATAGGCACCTTGTTCCGAAGTCTCGGGAACGTAGGTATGTCCATCAACCACCCAAAATCCAAAGCCATCCTTGCTTGTAGGGGTAAAGGAGCCAATAGCATCAAGCGCAGGTTTGTGAAAAACGCAACAAGGCAGGGTGCTGAGATTTGTTTATGCACAGGAGATCATTGATATTCCCCTGGTTGAAAAATTTGTGTACCTTGGTGCGGTGGCTAATTCTGGACCGTTCGAGGATCAAACCCTTGAACATCGGACGCAGATAGGAGTGGCCAATCTCTGGAGATTGGGTAGAGTGCTGCGCAGCAGGCACTCCCTAGGAAAATCCAACCGCCTCAATATATGGCAATCATGCGACCACCCAGCAACGACATGCGGTCTCACAGCAAGTGGGCTCACACATACAGGGGCCAAGAAACTTACCCAAGAATCCTTGAAACAGATCCGCCTAGCGGTGGGTGACCCTGCTTATATGTCCCACAGGCTGCACCAGGAGGTTCTGGACAAGTTGAACTTACAACATCCGGTTGCGGAACTTCAGAACAGGATGCATCAGGAAAATCGGGAAGCTGAGTGGCATCCGTGTGTTCGAGGTCCAGGAAACGCTCAGTGGCAACGAGTCAAGAGACTCTCTGATAATACCACAGAATGACCCTGTTGCGCACATACCGTCGTATACAATGGAAGTGGCGTGCCCTACGTGTGGAATCACCTATCTTGATAGAACCTCGATGCTGATACACATGTCTAAGGCCCACAAGTAAGACCCCAAGCGACCTTCCAACCAAAACATTGCATTTGATCGAAGCAGGGACGCCCAGAACGGTCTGCACATATGCAAACATTGCGACCAAGAGCTGTGCGATTGCTCAAGTTAAGGAAACATATCCAAGAGAAACGTTGCCCCGCACTGTTTCATCAAACCCCGCAGCCTCCTGAACAGGCGGACGTTCCACCAAAACCATTGGGAGCCACATCCGTGGCCCCAGGTGACGCAGCCACTGAACAAGCTGACCCATACATTCAGCGTCCTCATGTAGCTGAAGCAGTCTGCAAGACAACGCTGCATTTCATCTACATGATCGACAAGTGCTCACCCCCCACTGCGCTATTTGTCATCAATGGATTGCAGGTCACTATACATCTAGATTGATCATCACTCCTGCAGGCCATCATTCAACTGCTCAATGGAGCAGGGATGATGCAAGGCCAGTAAAGCTCGTGAAGTGAAGCATGGTGTTGGACTATTACAGCAAGCATACGTCCTGCTGCTTGGCAGGGGTGACGCTTCAGCCAGAATGCGGTGAATGGGGCTTGGGGAATGAGCTGAGAGCAGAACACAAAAATCTTGACTGATCAGATGAGTCTGACAGTAACAAAAATCTCAGGCGTTGCGCATGATTCTACTCCAGGTACTCACTGTGCTGCAGTAGCCACTGCAACTCTGAAGCACTGTGCCTTTTTAGGCCACTTGTACAGCACGTTGTACACTGGTACATAATTCCAACCTCTACAACTGACGGTAGTTTGGTAGTTGAGGAATCATTCATGGGCCATTCGTGGCATTGATTCCCACAGTGGATTTTGCGCACCAGATGCGCCGGCGCAAGGCCGCCGCCACTTAGCTGTACACAAGCCGACTCGGACTGGCTGTGCTCGAATGCGGTGGTAGTAGTAGTAGTAGTAGTAGTAGTGGTGGTAGTAGCAGCAGCAGCAGTAGTAGTAGTAGCAGCAGTAGGACAATGGTACTGGTTGTATTCTTATTGGCGGTAGTGGTGTTGGGGAAGAAGGCGGAGGAATCGTGGTGGTGCTACTAGTAATGGCCTGACGCAAACAGGGTAGGGTTTGTTCAGCTATTAAAGTTTGCGGCTGTTTCGGGTTAAACAGAGTCGGGGTTGTGTCGGGTTTAGGGGTTGGGGTTGTTTAGGGTTTAAGGTTTGGTTTTCGTTTAGGTCTGGGGTTTGGGTAGATTTGAAGTAAGTTTGCGGCAAAGGGCTTTAGATAGATAAGCGCTTGCGGTTTGGGGCTGCTTGGGATTTAGATTTGGGGTTGTTCGGGGGGGGTTGTTACTTTACGTTTGGGATTGACGAGCTTTTTCAGGGTGTCGGGGCTGCATAGGGATTAGGATTTGGGGTTGATTGGGGTTTCGGGTTGTTCAGGGTTTAGGGACTCTTCTCGGGTTAAGGGACTCTTCTCGGGTTTATGTTTTCCGGTTGCACGGTCAGGTCTGGGGTTGCTTAGGGCTCAGGATCTGGGTCTACTTTGGTTTGTAGGGTTAGGGTTTGTGGTTTAGGGTGCAAGTTTCTTTTTTGTGAGGATTAGGGTTTTGGGTATGTTAACGGCGGTTGAGGGTTCTGAAATTGGAGCTGTTTAGCGTACTGCTTGATACTCGGGAATACAGGAAAATCCCTATATAATCCCTATTTGATATGTTACCTTATTCCCTATACTAACCCGAAATCCTAAAAAGTAGTTGTTTGCATCGTGTTTTCCACTATCATCCCTTAATATGACCCCTACATAGTATATTCCCACATTTCCTACCAACCCCCAGTAAGTTAGGGATGGGGGATGTTTGGGGTTCAGAAATCGTAGCTGAGGGCTCTAGGTTGTCTATGACTTGTAGCGGGCGGTGAAGGGTTTAGGTTAGTCTACGATGTGTGGCTTGCTGTTCTTTAGGGTTTGAGGGCAGCTTGAAGTTATGTATACCAATATGGCAGCAACCACGAAGCCTCTGGGGAACAAGAAGCATCCAAAGCTTATGGTGATGGTAAAGCGCGCACTAATTTTGAAGAATTTGGTCCTGAGGGCTTTCTGCGCAATCGCTGCGATTGCCTTCCATTCAGCCTGTAGCGACAATAGCAATGTAAACGGGTGCTGGCATCGAGCGCGCTGAGCTCAGCACACATGCAAAGCAGCAGGTCTAGGGGTCAGCCCCAGCCGACTGTTGTCAATATCGAAAAGAAGCTCCTCAAGGCTTTTTTCCGAACACCTCTGTGGGGCGGCACAGATTCGCAGGTCCTGGCCCACCATCCATGAAGCGCCCAAAACAACTTTCGAACCATCTGGAAGGGCCTGAGTTGCAACTGCAGAAGCTGTATGTAGTTGCTTGTTGTCCTCGGTATGGAGCATGGCATGAAGCCCATCTGCAGCTAACATACGGTTTGATGGTGTCATGTTTTGGTGTCACTCTGCGAACGGTGGCCTATTTGAGACGAGCGATCCTATTCAGATCTCTTTTTGATTTTAAACGCAACTTGCAAAATCCGCCCGCCTGCCAACTCCAGCTAAAGCAGACGCCTGGGCCTTCATCACGGTGGCTTTGCTTGTTAGTCTGGAGAGTGGCATTGCCCAGCCGACTCACAAGCCCGTGTTGCAAGTCTCACAGCTTGGTGATGGGTGCAACAGCGCGGTTCGGGTCGTAGCTCAGCCAGGGCGTGCTATCCAAAATTATCAGCTTGCCCATGCACCACACGCACACTGAAAGAGAGCATGGGCACTGAAAAAGAGGATGCGCCGTGTACACTGGCGTTCGGAGATGTCATTGAAGCTACCCATCTTCAGGCAATGTGTTGTTTGGTGAAAGCTTTCCGGAAAAATATTGGGCATATGGAGTTCCTGAAAGCGTTGCAAAGGGTTTTTTCTCCCGCGGAGCTGGCTGTCTATATAGGATGGCTTGTTGTCTGACTGTTGAAATGATTTGATGTTTGATTGATGTGATGGTTTGCTGTTTGATTGACGGGGTGATGTGAATGCGATGATGTTATGAGGTTGCTGTGCAGTTCTCACGGGTATCGGATGGGATGTGAGGCTCATGGCATCTCATGGCCTGACGTGAGGTTTCCGTATAGGTTTCGTGAAGGTATCGTGAAAACATCTCTCAACGTCAGGTTTCCGCGAGGTTAGCTGTCAAATTTCGAAGACTTGTTGGGAAATCTTTACCGGGCTTCACTCGTAACAGTTCGGTAATTCCCGAAGCTGAATGGTCTTGCCAAACCCCAAAGCTGCTCAGCTGGGCCAAAATCCTCGTTGTCTGGGGACTGGGTCCAGGAGCGACCCAACACCATGTATTCGCAGTGTTGCTCTTATGGGGGTGTATTAAAGATTGTCCTGTCCAAGTGCTGTGCTCTCGTTCATTTCCATACAACCGTCTGTGCATGGTTGCATTGCTCAAAGTTCTGGGAGTATGAATTACCGGCGCTTGGCGCAGGAAAAGAAACACACTGTGGTGTTGCTAGCTGTGCGCGTGGTGAGGTTAGCAACGCCTGTGATCAATCTCACCGGAGGGAGCCGAATCATTCGGCGCTAGAGGGAGGGACTCGACACAGACGTAAGCTGTGATTCTGTTGGCTGTGACATTTGCGCGCCAATTCGTACCAGGTCCATGACTTGCAAAAGCATACAGTCGAGAAGATGACCCACACCCCCTAGAAATGGCGACGCGTACAACCAGCAAGAAGACATGGCGAAGCGGTTCTGCCGTGTGAGACTCCGAGACTCTTGGAGACGAGCTTTGTGGATCTTTTGCGGCACATTCCAAGAGAAATGAGCGTTTCTGGCTGCGGAACGGCCGAAAAGCGGGAGGTCGCGCATGGTCCCCGCAACGGGGCCAAAACTACCGCTTTTCGGGAAAAAAAATTAGGTTCGCACCGCGGTGGGCAAGATCTCAGGTCAACGGTGGCAGAATGTCGGCGACGCGCAAATACTGCAGTGCTGCCATGGGCGAAACCAAACAGATCCCCCAAACAGTATTCTCGGATTTTTGAGGCAACCGGCAGAGCACCGTAAATAGCTGGATTCTTTTGCACCCTCTTGTGGGACCGTTAGTCATGAAGTTGAATGGATTTTGTCATTTTGAGTGATCCTTTGGGTCAGGTCCTGGGTGCTTGGCGTTTGTGGCTCGAAAGGTGTAGCAAAGCCTGGCTGTGCAAGGCACGGTGGCACTTAGGGAGACCTGTAGCACCGCGACACCTGCCTCGCCCGCTTGCCGCTGTAGCGAATTAGGTATCGGCTCGGTGGCCACGAGACCTGCCACCGGCAAAGTTGCATTGAGTCTCTCGCAGGAGTAGCCGCTGCTGTTGACTTCGGTTTGGATTTGTCTTGAGAAAGAAGGCCTTTCAAACTTCAAAATGGCAAGGTGTTTGATGCATACCTGCGCATCCCATATGCAAATTACTAAGAATTAAACTATTGGATGAGCCTCAACGCCTGCCAGCCTCCAGGAGAGCACTGGAAACCGTCCCGTACCTTCGAACAAGCGAGATCATAAAAGTCTACAGAATGCGATGGCACAACTAGAAGATCGTCTTCAAAACTTATCAGTGATTCCAGAGCAAGGTTACATGACCTTCCCCAAGCCACCACCAGTAGCCAGCAACACCAAACACGTTCATCAAGGCCGCCGCTGAAATTTCCAGCATTCCCTGGAGGCAGCTTGCAGCAACAAGGCAATAATCAGCATGAAGATCATGCAGCATGCCTTGGACTCGCCAGCAATGCCTGCTTGCCTCATGCTCATGTCAGAGTGGACACATCTTCCAGATGGTACGTTTGCGTCACCTCGTCCCCTGTTGCAGTGGGTGGGTCAGCATGTATGCAGCGCAGATCTTTACAGAAGTCCTGTTTCAACTGAGCGTTGTTCAGTTGCTCATGAATCTCAGTCACGCGCGCATCCCGACAACAGGGCACAGTCCTCCAATACCTTCCGCAACTGCCTCTCAGCCTCAGGTCTTCTTGATTTGTGGTCTACAGCTGTTGCCCATGAACTGATTCGGTATGAGGGTTCTAGCCGCCGGGTACTCTGGTAGATGCATCCAGCCTCTGGCGGCAAGTACGTAAAGGTGGAAGCGGAGTCAAGCTGCGCCTTACCAAGCCTGGCAATACAAAACTGCATTCACAAAGTGAAGAAGCTTCCCAATACGTGCCTGGAAGCGATCGAGTGCCCGTTGAGCATCAGAGCTTCAACCTTTGACGGGCAAACAGTCCAGATTCGTCTATCAGGAGCAGAGCATAGCAAAGCTCCATCACTTCGCCTTGATGCTGTACTTGCCACTTGATCCACTCGTCAGCAGCGGTACCTCAAGCGCCAGCCAGCGCCAGCGGAGGGTTGATGGCTGGCTTGCCAGCAGTTGAGGGTTCGGCCCACAGTCTGCCAGCTCGAGTGGCCGCTTCTCCAATAACCAGGTCTCCGCCTGAAGCTCGACAAAGAATCCACGCTGTACATTTCTCGATCGAGGCCGGCCTTCAGAACCCAAGCTGAGCGAGAATGCCTCTCACAAGAAGACATGAGCAAAGAGAAGCAACCATTGCCGGAAGCCATAAGCTCCGCACTCGTTTTCTGATGCGGGAGCGCAGCCCCTCGCGGAATCAACAACTGAAGCAAGAATGGCTGATGAGTATGTGCCCTCCTGCTTCTGGAAGGCTTGCCATATCAATGTTGGCTTACCTGCTGAACCTTGACGAAGAGGATACACATGATCCAAGATATCCATGGCGTCCTGCCATCCGAGGAGCCGGGTGCCAGCCCCAGGATGCCGCTTTGCCGCTGGGCAGAGAAAAGCCCCGACTCCTCCACGAAGTGGGAAGAGCAAATGCGGTTGGGTTCATATCTGACAGTGTTGGCGTCACTTCAGGTTTCGTCGCTGACAGTCTGTCTTGGTGGCCTTGAGGGAGCATCCCAGAGTCGCAGTCAAGGGGTCAGAGCCTTCGGCAGACTGGCAGGACAACGTAGGCTAAGCAGAAAATGAGTCAAGTTCCCAGCTGCCATTCCAAGATACAAAGCGAAGGCTGTCCCGAAACCACCTCCTGGGGCGTGGCTTCACGCTAACTTCCGTAGCAACGACTAGATTGCTCTATCACTGAGCCATGTGCCCTTCAAGAGAGGATCCCTCGAGATATTTCTCACGGAAGACGCAGGAATCCTGCAGGCAAGCAGGGGACAATCACAGCACACGCGCTCTGTGGCAACGCTTCTCTATGCAGGATTTGAAACAAAGCGGGCTGCTTTGCGGATGTCCAATGATACCCATGATGCCCTTCCTTGTCACATTTGCCTGGACAGCTTGCCCCGCAGCGAATCCATTCGCCAGTACGGCTTCCAGACAGATTGAAAGGAGGATCCAGATGTTTGCCACAGGCAGAACACCCTGCACAGGTCAGTTCGGTCACCCAGCTGGCGGTGTCCACCTGGGGAAAAACTTGCAGCACTTCTTTCGCACTTGTCTTTCGCATTTCCTTCTTTGCCAAGGAGCGATCAATGAGGCACGCTGTGGCCTAAGCAGCGGCGTCAGCGGCGTGCAGTTTTATGACGGTGGAGCCGTGCAGCCTGCCTGGGGGATCCCAGGAGGACCTGTCAGAATCATTGCACAACGACATACGGTACATACGTGTGACAGAGATTCTCCCATTGCACCTCTGCAAAATAGACGCCCTCTCGGAAGCCACCTCGCAGCCTAGGCAGGATCTGGCAGGATTGTTCTCTGCATTCCGAGCCCTGCAGGTTGAGTAGAGCATAAGGGGCAGACTTAGCGTGCCAAGCACTGGGCCATCGTGACGAAGCCATTGCACAATTCTGTCACATCATTATTCTCTAAGTATGCAGGTTCTGGTCCTGACGTTCCCCCTGGGACAAAAGCGACAAGAATGAAGTGCTTTGAACTCAGCCTGCATCTTTCCACAGCATGACCTTTGCTCCCAGGAAGGCTTGCTGTGTAGGCACTCATGCTGCGGAGCCTTGCCATGACAAAGATCAATCGGCCGTTCAGCCAGAGACGCGCAAACGCTTCGCTTCTCTTTTACCATCTAAAACATGCCGCACGGGCAAATTCACACGCGTAATTGGGCAGGAGTGAAACTAACTAAAATGCTAGCGGGATGCAATTGCTTGCCCTACAAAAAGTTCTCGGCATCCTGGCTAGAAAGTTATCAGACCTTCGAGGCTTCTCGCGAGCCCCGAGCAGATATCCTGCAAGGTGTTACAGCTGCAGAATCCATCGCACTGTCTTCTTAGAACTGAAGCTGAAGGACACCTACACGGCAACTGTATCCTGGAAGTGCTCCGAGACAAGCTGCCGCTTGACTGGCGCCTAATGCGAACAATGCAGTTTCACAGCTATCGAAAAATGTCCAGACATGTCAAGACACTTGCACCCCTGAACTTGCTGAGATTTGGGCCCTGCAGAAATCTTCGACCTCATTGGACACCAGCAGTTGCCCTCACGTTGGACTGTCGTGAAGCCGCTTGAAAGATGGGGCTCCAGCTCTTCTCGCGTATCGTCTCCTTGATGAGACTGGCTCCTCCAGCATGCGCTGTGCTTGCGCAGCAGAGGCAGACATGTTCTCATCCCTGGGCATGGCCTCTGCCTCTTGCTTTCACGCTTCTTCTTTTGCAGCTCGCGCGCATGAGTGCGCATGAACCTTATCAATGCTGGATGAACAGAAGCTTTCCTCGCCCCATCCCAGAACAGAATGTTGACAGCCAGCTGGCAGCGGAACGCGAACAAGCGGCAGCATCAGCGACGCTTGAGTTAGGACCCCAGCAGATCAATCTGCTGAAGCTTGATTTCTGAGATATAGTTGTTGTGGATGCCAAACTGACCAGGACTTACAAAAGGTCTGAGCATATTAGCCGGAAACAGTTCTGTCTTGCAAACTTGCGCCTCTGTCATTGAGAGGTGCTCGGCCTTCTGAAGTAGTTTCAGAAAGACCTTTGGCTCCGAGGCGCTTCAGAATACATCAACCACTGTTGGCTGGTCCTGCCTCTGCAGCCTCATCAGTGAAGTAGTTATCCTGTGAACGGGTTCTCGACTTATCCAGTCTTAACAACTTGAAGTTCATCCTCGAAGCTCAGCTTCGTGATGAACTTGTTGGATAAAATGACCTGAGCATTTTTCAGGCCTAAACAGCGTCACAATTGACACATTCTTGGCGAGCTTGCCTCTGCTACGAATTCCATGGCATCGTCTCGTATGTTGTTGCCTTCAACGGATGACAAACTGACATAACATGCTTCACCTCTTCAAACCTGCCAAGGGTTCCTGGCTCAAGGATCAGGTGCGTCCAAGCCTGAGCAGTCCAGCTCCTGCAAGTGGGTGTTCAGCAACAAGGCCTGAGCACTTGAGCAGATCATATAATGACAGTAAATGCCCCTCCCTGCACACTGAAAAGAGCTGCCTCAAACAGGTGCTTCACTGCATCGTCACGCAGGCGGTTGACCTTAGTCTCAAGGTTATCACATGTTATCACTTCCTCGGACAACCAGCGAAGCTGGCGGGAGCGGGAACCTCTCAGACCATATGCAGCCTGAGCTGACCACACGGATGTCCAGCGAACGAAGGCGACAGTTCTTCCGCAGAGCCTGTGCATACCGCCAGAGGCCAAGGCTTCCCTACTTATGCAGCAATCCTTCGGCCACTGATGCATGTCAACTGCATTCACCATCACGTCCCATGCCAACATGGCTACAGTCACTTGCAACACTATGACGACGTTGCTGCCTTAGCGATTGCTTTGCCGCCAATGCTCGTAATGCCATTGGCACGCACACCTCAAGCTAGAGTAGCTGCAGATTACAGCAGGAACCTCGTGTGAGTCCAACAACGGCGAGCTCTCATCTGAGGCATCTGCTCAGCTTGGACACCTTGTTATAGTTGCACAAGGCCTGCGAGGCTGATGGACAGCACCTTTGTCACGGAAGGCTTCTGTTTGCCTTGGCTATGGCGATCGCTCCAGGATCTCCGATCTCGTTCAAGCCTGGAACAGCTTGTTACAACACTACTCAAGTCGAATGACTTCTTCAAAGCTCAGTCAGTCACCAAGATCTAAGTGTCTCAACGTCGGGCACTTCTCGACTGCACTCCCGATGGCAGCACCTCCATCCTGCACTGCTGCTCTGTCTGTGGCTTCGTAAAAGCAGGGAAAAGACTGGAGCATGAAGAACATACCTTCCAATTAAGACAACCCGGCTCCGGATGCCGTCCTTGAGGATGTGGTTGTCAAACAATCTCAACTCCTTTAAGGTGCGAGAGGAGGACACGAACCTCAGACCCAATAGTCACTTCAAACGTGCGTTTCTGCACCTTGCTTGCCCATGCCTAGATGGCCAACATGCTTTGAGGGCTTGGCTCCGCAATCGCCGCGGCGCCCGTATCCTGGTCTGCAGCACGTGCATATCTTCACATATCTTCACAAGTAAGGCGAAGCCAACATGTTTCAGCTCTGAACCACTCCAGCTATTGCTGAATATGAAGCTCAGAAATGAGGTTCAGCTGAAGAAACCAGTGCATAGGATCGGGCTTGGACTTGCTCCACATGTCAGGTGTTGCGGCTGCACGCCGCTCATTTCTTGACTCTATGACGTTTTTTCGTCCTCACTAGCATGCACGCTTCCTTTGAGATTCTCTAGACGTCAACCGATCCCTGAATCATGTTTCTGGGGGCCCTGCACCAATACCATTAGCATCCAGCGTCAGGACTTCGAGCACACCCTGCCGGGGAGTGGCAAAGATGCTTGAAGCATGTTCATGAGAGGCTCAAGTTACGTAGCTCCAGCAACTTGACTTGAACTGGCAATGCGCTACAAGATTCATGACAGTGAAGTCTGCTCTGCAACAATGTCAACCGACATTTTCAATGCTCGCACACAGGATCTGTCCCTGAAACTGCCGATCTCAAGATCAGGTGCCTGTTGAATCAGAGCTTCTGCAACAGCTCCCGCGCCGGCGTCGGACAAATTATTGTGCTGGAGGTTGAGGTCCACAAGAACTGCAGACGACACGGCTATGACGCAACCAAATCAGAGCTACGGGCCTCAAATTGCCAAGAAGCCGTTTATTGCAGACAAGGCTATATCATATCTAAAGGTTCTTCCAATGTGCAGACATCTGGGTGGGTGTAGCATTACACTGAATCTTGCAACATTTGCATGTGCAAGACATCCTGCGAGATAGACCGTCATGACTCGCTGCCTGATCTCGACACATCCAAATGAAACTCCTGGCCTCGATTCGTTGACAAGCCTTTGGCCAAGATGGCGGCTTCTTCTGGACCAAAACAGACATGCCTTGCAAGGCTGGTTGGATGTCCATCGAAACCAGCTGCAAGCATCCTGCCTGAAGTCCAACTTGGTAACATGACCTTCAGACCAGCGAGAAGAGCACATGGGATGGGGATTGTCAAAATTATCAAGAGGGCGATGTTATGTTGCGGACCCAAAAAGGGACCATGTTCTAACAACCCCCCATGGAGGCGATGCAAGTATAAACCGTCATCAGGATGCTGCCACGCAACTGTTTGTTGAAATGTCGTTGGAAAGCGCTAACAGGCCAGAGCGCGAGATGTTCGCCAGCGAGGCCTCATGCAGAAATACTTGTCGAAGCCGACTCTTGATGGTGGTTCTCATGGTCAAGCACTCCAGGCAGCCTCCTCAACATCTTCGTTGATGCGAACATTGAGGCGAACAACCTGGCAAAATACGGGTGCTTCGTGCAGAATGAACTGAGGATGCACGGACCTTCGGCGAGAACCCACGCACCAACTGCGGTTTGTCCTGTTGCAACCAGAAAGTCTAGGAAAGATTGATCACACGTGGGTGATCCCCCGTCCTTCTTTGGAAACAAGACAATCGGCATCGGTGGGCACCACTTACATGGCGCTTTAACGTTAACAACAGGCTTGGTTGCAGTAGGTTGAAGTAATAAGCATAGAGGTTGCATAGTACCCTTTGGTTTAGCACACCGTGCTGGGATCACAGGATAGCCATGACCTGTTAACCCTGAACCCTCGAAAATCCTCTGACTTTGAGCGCAAGCGGCCAGGCCAGACAAAAGGCAGCTAGCGCCCGGGACCACCCCGAACTCTGTTCGCAGTTCGCACATTCAACGAATGCATAGCAAACCTCAGACCCTTCAGAAGACAGGCGCAGGAGGCGGTTAAAGAGAAAAGAAGCTTTAAGTCTGGAAGCTTGCAGATTAAGCTTCTCTCAACAAAGACAGAGGTTATACAGATGGGGCCGTTCTGCGGATGGAGTGCTGTATCTGACTTACAGTATGAGGTGCTCCCGAGGTGCTCCCACTATCTGGCTTAAATGGATCTGCTGCTTGCCACAACGAGAAGCAAGTCCCTGTGAAAAACCTGCACGAGTTGAAAAAAGTCCCGACTTGTACCTTCATTGTCGCAATGCTGGACGTAGTTCAAGAATTCTCTCCCAGCTGGGCCGTTCTACAGGAATGAACCAGATCAAGCTTCCATCACTGGCTGGACGCGCGTAGGAAATCGCCATAATAGTTTACTGGATAGAGCGTGCCAAGCAGTGAGCTTCAGACATGTCCTCCACCGCTTAAGCCAGAGTTGGCTTCCCCACGGGCCCATCACGGAGCCTACGGTCCTGGAAGTCAAGATGGTGCATCACAGTTTTGGCGTTTTGGCGTGGGCGCGGAATTTTCTTCTGCCGGCTTCCGAAAAACGGCCAAACAAAGGTTCTTCCAGATTTTCTGCGTCTGCTTCACAAAATGCCAATACTTTCGTGTTGCTGCATTCACCTTCTTGATTGCCCATCGAGCCTGAGTCCATGAGCACTTTTCTTGCTATGGACTCAATCCACTGCGCAAAGTCTTGTTCCTCTACATCACTGAACACCTCAGAGCAGATGCGCGGTTCATCAGCAACACGTTTTTCCGGGAGTCGTATGCAACCTGTGCTCCATCTGCTCGCGTGTTGTCTTCATGTACGATGTACGGACCGCCAGGTGACTGGCCAAGCAGGCTTGCAGGGGTGATACCCTAACTTTGTACACCACATTACACCACGTTACACCGCGTATCACGGGCTGGGCCTTAAGCGAGGCATGCGAGTAGAACCAGCCTCTGGTGCCAGTGACTGCCAGTGCTTGGGCACAGGCTGGGAGGACAGCGGCGAGGTTGCTCTCGACGTGTGCAGTGAGGCCTAGCATTCTTGCTGTGTGCTTTGTAGCTTTTCTGCTGGCTTGATCGAGGAGAGGACCGGCAGGAGGTTCAGAGGATTTAGGCTGCCAGCAACTTCATCCTGAAGACCACATCGCAATCACAATCATCATCCGAGTATGGTGATTTTGCGATCATTTGCGTCCTCCAGAAGCTGCAAGAAGAGTGCTTCGTTGGGCGACGCCTTCTCGTGAATTCAGAACCCAGACAAAGGAGCTCTTGTGCATCCAGGCTCTTTCAGGTGAAGGCATTTCAAAATGCGCTCTTGCCTCGTTGGAGAGGCCCTCCGCCCTGCTGACCTGCGGCCGTGCAGCAAGGCGGTGCAACGAAGAAGACGTGCCTAAGATAGCTTGCATACCAGGTTACCTCGAAAGATCCAGGGGAGGAGCTTGCTGCCCTTGTTGCATTTGAGCCTTTGTGAACTGGTTTGCTAAACTTCCCATGCATCGGCTAAACGGCTCCACCGCAAACTCCGCATTTGTAAGGACATGGCTCACAGTCTGCATGCCGCCTCAAGGCAGAATTTATGGGTAGCAGCTTGAGCAAGTCAGTGAGGCTTCCACACCACTGGAAAAGCAACAAGTCCAGCATGTGGGCTGGCATTCGCTGACCAAGCCACGCAAGTCAGCACAAGTCAGATGCCTCCCTTTCAAGCAAAAACTTCAAGTACCATCCAGTACAACGTTACAAGCCTGAACACGGCGTGTGCGCCCGGGACGGCGTCAGCAAGTTCCTGCCAGCATGGGCCAGAAGAGCAGCTGTCTATTTGCTGCATTGGGCAACCTATACATCTGTGCACTAATCCGCTAGCCAAGGCCTGACAGGGCGGAACATCCTCCAAGTGGCTCGAACACGTTTGGCTTTTTCTTCGGGGGGACCTCCCAGCATATCCTCCCGCGAAGTAGAAACCCCGACTCTTCTCCGCATCGCGAAACAAATCCCAATCCTGTCCAAACGGCCCCAGCCAGGCACCACCAACAAGATCTCGCTCATCCACGGAACACGCGTTTTTGCAGGATGCACTGAGCATGATAAGCCTCCTCGAACTCATGGTCCAGGATCCTGTCATTGCTACTGTTACGCCTCAGTCTTGACACCCAAATACTTCAGAGCTGTATGGAAAATATGTGTATATATCTATATATGGACCACCCGCCACCCATCACCTGCCACCCATATTCCCCGACATATATATATATATATAGATACACATATATATATATATGTGTATATTGTTTTATCCGCAAGGCGTGCATTTTGCTTTTTCCGGATGGTGCTGGCCACCACAACGCGGGACCACTTGCCAGCAGGGAGCGGTCATAGATCTTAAGGTCACTGATGCAGATTCCATGATCACGTGGTGCGTCTAGCTTTGGCATCTGTAGTTTCTATTCTTTTGACGAGAAACCGAATCGGGGCTCGGATAAGAAACGGAAACCGAAGGATCTTCTCATCCACCGGCCCTGACCCCACACACACACACACACACACACACACACACCCGGCCAAACAAGGCTGTCAAGGCAGAATGTAATTTGTCGAGATTCATATGGGGTCTCTCAATGCTGGGTTTATGCTGCTACGAGATCTAAGGCTGGATGACGGCTTGATAAGGTTTGCCTCGTCTTTAACCTTCTGGTCCATCAGCATCAGTCCAATGCCCCAACACCGTACAACACAGTAGTTCAGACTCGCTAGAGCCCCTGGCCGCTGCCTCAGATTTCTCAATTTCGATCGATTGCAGACTGGAAAAGATCTGCGGCCCTCTCAGAGGATCTTGGGAGGACAAGTCTCTTGCGAAGAGTGTTTGCACTTATCATTCGCAAACCTTACGGGCGTCGTGGCGCCACTACCAGCATCTTCAGCATGGTTCGGGCTCCATTTCTCAACCCCAAGACTTTCTTTCAGATGTTCATCGATTGCTGCTTCTCCTTCCCGCTGCTTTGCTTTCAGCAGCTTGTAAGCGTTTATCAGGCAGGGCTCAGCATACGGGGATGCTGCTGAAAGCAAAGACAATAAGCGAAAGCGAACATCAAACTACTGCATGTTGGAGAACTTGAGAGAAATTGTACAACATGCAGCTTTGGCAGGTCGGGTGTTGCTGCATTGATTGCCTAAACGGGTAGCTGCCCAGTGCTTCCCGCACACGCACGCCGCTTTGTGACCCATGAAGCGTCTGCGCTGGATTTCCTTATCCAAAAAGATTCACCGTGTCAAACTGCTCTCAAGGCACATGTCTCAAGGCGTCGCTCCCGAATTGTTTAACGGAACGTCAATTGTCTTAGATTTTCAAGAGTTTTCCTTCTTTGGCCCTCAAAATTGCAGCACCTAACAAAGCAGCTCCTGGAGCTGGCTTTGTTCTGGGACTGCGCTGCCCTGAAAGCAAACACGATTCATTTCTTGTGCTCCTCTCTTGTCTTGAGTCTTGAGGCATGGGCGGAAGAATCACAGGAGTCTCCCGGAGCATCTGCTGAATGTCCTAAAGCAAATGTGCTGAGATTCTTAAGGAAGCATGATTGTTTACTTTCACATCTTACAGCTGCTGAAAACCGCAGCTGTCGCTCGCCTGCTCGGCTGCAGCTTCAGCTCGGCCTTGCTCCTTGTCAGCTCAAGGCAGAAAGCAGAACCGACCACATACAATCCCCATGGTCCCCTTTTGGAGACCTCCAGAGCCTCTTGGACAACTTCGTCATCCGTATCAGGCTCCTTGAAGCTTGCTCGTCAAACTATGAACGCTGTCCGAGATGTTCAAGCGCGGTGGCCTCAATCCGATCCTGATCTGAACCTTACGCTGGAGCCATCATGCCATCCAGTGCGTTAACAAGCCGAGCCCACGACGCGCAGTTGACAACTGCCCTGTGTTGGCCATTGCTGATGTGCTTCGCGGGTTCAGCCTCTGCGAGAAGCATTGAGCACGACCTCGCCTGCTTCCCACGCCATCTGCAACCCCACCCCAAGTCGTTCATCATCGCTTCGAGCATAGACCACGCTCGAGATCTGCCACCCTGCAGGATGTTCATGATGCAAGACATGAAGATTCGGCCGGCGCCTCTCCCTCAGCCTCTCCAACATCAACAGGCGAAGGAACCTGAAACACTCCATCATCAAGTCTGGTCCAGTCTGGACAGATGTACACTACCCGGTACCCGCCTCCGATCGTGGAAACCCTCCCCATTCGCTCTCCTGACATGAGTCACCAATGGCACTCCAATGGGGGGATGGGAAGCTGAGACACCAAACTCAAAAATAGATGGGCCCGAATCGACGTCTGTCAATCAAGAACTCTCCTACTTGAAAAGAAGTTGTCAGGCCAGGCGTGCTTCCTTGTTCGAGTACCGCGTTTGACTTTCTGTAACTGTTAGGGTCAAAGACGGGTAGCAACTGAGCCAATCGGAGCTACTGTTGTTGGCACACGAGTTCACAATACTTCAGCGGGTGTGCTGCTACTCTTATTTTTCTCCGGCTTGTAGATGCCTCGTCATCGTCAACCAGCCGCTCGGCTGCGCCTGTCTCACATATGGCGAGGAATTCTTCATGTCCTGTCACCCCTGCCTGCGCATTTGGCGGCTTCAAGTTGCTGCCCCAGAAGCCCTATGACCTTATGCATGTTCAGAAGATTCGAGGCGCAACCAGGAAGAACAGAACAGGGTCTGCCTCAGCAGCATCCATCTCGCGCTCCTCCTCGCCGGTGTAAGCTTTTGCGAGGAAACAACATACGCAAAGTGGAGAGAAACAACCCCCTGCTTCGTGCCAGATCAGAGGGTAGAGCGATGATTGAAAAAACAAGTTGTGCATCCTTCTCGTTCCACGGCAACTCAACGCCAAGTCGCCTGCTTGCATCGTGCCTGGCAAAACTTAAGAATTGTCGCTGAGTCTCGAGAGTGTTTCAGAGCTCTTGTGCTGTTCATCATGTCACTGATGGACTGCAGTACATGCTGTCCATATCCTCATAAGGAAACTCTCTTTTCTTTCAAGCCAATGGGCATGGCTTGGCAGTGGAAGCGTGCTGCAAGGCTTTGTTGCAGCTTCTAAGGCACACTGTACAAGATACTGCCCTGCATGCCAACGGACACGTGGACGACATCTATCAGCTCACTGTTCCAGTATCCATTCCTTGCAGCACGAGTTGTAGGCATGGTAGAAAAAAGCCTCTCAAGCAACCCTGCCCAGGACCTCGAACTTCTTCCCTCTGGCGTGGAGATACTCCACGCCCTCCACTTCTTCAAGGAGGAACCATGGCCTCGCTCACGCTGTCACCGCATCCCATGCATCCCACACTTCTGCAGGCATACTTGTAGAGAGACAACTGATATCTGAGTTCTCCGCAGACCATGAGGCTCGCCAAAGTCAAGGCCCGCAGAGCCACCGACAACCCCCAGGCATAAGGCCTTGGTAGTTTGAAAGAGTCCAGTTTCGCGAGCCCGTCCAGATTCCGCATTGGCATGGAGTTGTAGCTTTCAAGAACTACTCTTGACTGGTTCTTCTCAATGCAGCGAAGTAGCCGCTATGGAGTCCACATCTCCTCCAATGTCCACCGAGGCCCTGATTCAGGATTTCACACAATGAAATACAAGCAGCAGAAGTCGTCGATGATTCTTCCTGGATCGATTGACTGAGTCTGGGGTCTATGAATAATTGCCCCCTGCCTGAGGATGTCAAGAGGGCCACGGTGGTGCTTCAACAGGAAGAGCACCACAGCTGCGGTTCGCATAGCCTGCTGAAACCCGCCCCTGGGTCCAACCCTCCCGAAAGCCTAAAACTTTGAGGCCCAAACATCAGACCAGAGCCCATGCATTTTGCTGGATCCATCATCCCCAGCTCCAATGCCATCAGCCTCACAGTTCGGAACATCTGCGACATTCTGCGATGTATGTCGCCACGTCTCAGCGCTGGGCTGGGGGGCATGGCTGCGGGCCACAAAGGAGCTCGAGCCTCAAAGAACCAGACTGCCCTTCTTGGTATTCTTTTCCGACAGAAAGTGCCCTGGCCTATGGGGCGGCATCTTCCGGAAGCGTTCGCCCCACTCGTGATAGTCCTGCACCCACTCAGCGAAGTCCACACAAAGTTGCAGGCCTATGCATCTGACTGTTTGCCTCCAGCTCGTCGACCTTCTGCAGGTGTGCCTTGACGATTGCTGCGCTTCCAAGTCTCGGGAGGTTTCAGGTCAAGTCAACACTGCCTCTGTGGCATCGTCGCTCACACTGCTGTTTCGCAGCCTCGACAAGGCCTCATGGATGACCTCGCGGTGAGACCCACCAGAAATCATGAAAAATCCCATTTGTTGACTGAGTATGCATGTATGTTCATAAAGTCTGCTGGCCACTGCCCAACCCAAATGATTCCGCCCTCAGTTACAACTACCCGGCAAGTCTCATGCAAATTCTTAGCAGGCTTCTGACCTGGATTGGGATGGCAGGTTGCAAGAATATGAACCCAAGCTGAGGAAGAACTCGGACTAACGCAATCCACACAATGTGGCATGAACAGGCTTTCACTTTGTTCACTTTGAGCCAAGTCGCCTTATTGCGGTCGCCGTTTTCCACGATCAACCACCGTGCACCCTGCCCAGGAAGGCCAAGAACTGCTGTTGGACATCAAAGTTTCGCAGAACCAATGAAACTCAAGCCTCTGCCCTTGCTGCAGAAAATTGATTAGAAAGCGCGGGAGCTGCACATCTTAAGTACCCAGCAAGTATTATCCAGGGCCGATTGGTGGGCAAATCTGGCGTCGGCTGGTTTGGAGTCCCAAAGCCGAATTGCTCACTCCACCAAATGTGGCAGCGAAACGATGAGCGATGTTTACGCGATTCGGCTTGGGGCGAAAACGGTAAAATTCGAGTTTTTATGTTGTTGAATTGGATTGCGGGCCGTGAACCCGAAAGTACGAAAATCTGCGACGAGGAATAACATTTTGATGCATTTTGAAGAATACATTAAAGTTTGCGAAAATCTATCAATTTTCGCGGAAATCTTCATTGTTTTCGAAACGCTCGAAACACTACAAACTGTTTAGGAGTCTAGGCGACAAAGGCAGCCCAAACACATCACATGAAAGTCGCGCTCGCTCATTTGCTGCGTCAAGTTTCCGCATCTCAGAGGAGAGAGCTGCAAGGGAGGCCGAGACAGTCTAAGTCACAACTAGATGCTGCATGTAAAGTGTGCGTGCCGATTTGCAGATTTTCGCGAAAAAAAACAAAAATCCAAAACTGACTGCATTTCGCTTGTTCGCGTGGTTTCGTCCGAAACGAAAAAATCCAAAAATGCATCGGCCGAGTCTCTGCACCAGTTTACTGTGTTTCGTAAAATTATCGAGAAATTTGAAGAAAAAAAACATCAAATTTCGCAAGAAGTGTCTGAGTTGCGCAGAAATCCTCAGATTTCCACAAAAATCTCAGATTTTCACAGATATCGTCAGATTTCCGCAAAAATCGTCAGACTTCACCAAAAACAATCAGATTTTCGCAAAAACATTGCGAGAATTCGCGAGCATGGTTCTATTGAAAAAACCGCGGATTTCCACAAATTCGCAAATCTTAATAGTTGCCTGCAAAAATCTCTTTAGAAAAATCGTCTAGTTGTCGCACGAAATTTCTAGATTTTCACAAGACTCGGAAAGTGTCCGCAAGCTGCTAGCTAGATTTTCGCAAAGGCCCTCAAACGTTCTACTGGGTTCGTCGGGATTAGAATAGGATTAGTGCTCCATCCAGACAGGTGCTTTGCAATAACTTGCATGTTTTCCCAGGTTTTTGCAGCCCGTGGCCTAAACAGGTTTTGGAGGCCCTACCCTCATTGTACATTTCGGGGCCCTGGAAATGTAGAATCACCCCAGCTGGAAATGTACAA